GTGGGAAAGTACTAACAACTCATAAAAAGTGGAAATTCATTTATGATCTGGTGCCCCGACTCCGACCTATGGAATGACTTAGAATTGGATCACAGAGCGAGAATCGGTAGGCTTAAGTACCAGTGACCTAAAACAGAACAAAATGGGTGCTGGAGCCACACGTTGTGAGGTGTCGTTATCAGTTCCCGTCACCGCCACGGTGGCAGCACCAGCCACAACCGCCAGGCAAAGCGGTTCCATGGGTCCTTTCTAGGACAATCTTTCAAACTCGCTCAGCCAAACGCAGTACCACCAACTCGCTGAAACTTGCTACCCTGCGCCTGGGTTTTCTGACCAGCGAGTAGAAGCTAAGCGCATGCGCAAAGCCCCGTGCGGACCAATCGCAACGCAGCGCCGAGTGCTACGCCTGCGCAGTAGGACGCCTGTTGCAGTTCCCGGTCTCCCCTGGCTCTAGCAGGCCGGCTTCGCTGTCCAATGCCCGCCCGGAGCTGGGAGGAGGAGCCTGCGTGGTGTGCGTGTGAAGGGGGAGGGAGCGAGCGGGGCCCCACGGTGTTTGACCCGTCAGTCGGCGAGTGAAAAGAAAAGGAAGGAGGAGGTCTGGAGTAGCGGTTGCCGAAATGTTCCGGTGTGGAGGCCTTGCGGCGGGTGGTTTGAAGCAGAAGTTGGTGCCCTTGGTGCGGACAGAGTGCGTCCGAAGCCCGAGGCAGCGGAACCGGCTCCCAGGTGACTGACTGACCCATCCTGGCCAACCCCCCACCTCGACGGCCCAGGCCCTGGGCGCCATGGGCTCCTAAAGCCTCACAGCCCTCCCCTCCCCCTCGAAAAACTTAATACACTCAATGTCGCGTGAATTACAAATTGGCGGGATCCAGACCTTGAGTTTTGCAAGCGGAGGAATCCGCACAGTCGTGTGCACCTGACCTTCAAAAGATTTGAAGCCCGCTAGTGGGCTCGAGGCCTTTTCCTGGGAGGGATTGCGGTTCAGGGATGACCAAAAAACTGGCCACCTCATATTGTCCAAGGCCACCTCCCCGCCACCCCCACCCTGCCCTTTTAGAGCAATGAGGTCAAGTAGACTTTGTTATTTACGGGTTGTGAGACTTGAAACAGCACGTTTAATCCCTACACCTAAAGTTGTTTTTGTTTGTTTTTCATAAGTAAGTGTATTACCTGCTCTACTGACCAAACCGCAGATGAGCTCCGTAGATTCGAACGCCCCATGGAACTGAAATGGTGCGCTGCAAGTAAGGCATCAGTTTGGGTTGTGCACTAGACACCGGAGAGAACTGACCCAGAGTTAGAGATGCCTGGTCAGTGTAATTTTCGGTGGTCTTTAGTGCTTCAAAGAAACAGTCTACAGAATACATTGTATTTGCCCTCCACGTAGCTGTCTCATCAGCGTTTAGGGCTGGAAGGGATTTTGTAGTAAAGTTCAACCCATTCATTGTATAGATTAATAAACTGAGGGACAGAAAGGTGAAATTACTTGCCCAAGGTCACATAATTAATTTATAGGTCGAGCCAGCTTTCCAGTCTCTAGGCCCCTCTTGCTCTTGCAGTAACTCCACACTGCTTCCTAAAGTTTGACCTCAAAAAGTTAAGAATGAGTTTAGTTTTCTTCCTAGTAATTAAGCCCATTATGCATCAGATATCCATGAATTTATCTGATCATGGCTTGAGCCTCCCTATTTTTTAAATAATTATTTATTTAATTGTATTTATTCATTCATTTATTTTAATTTGACCAGAGAGAGATACAGAGAGAGAGAGAGAGAGAGAGAGGGAAGGTGAGAAAGCAAGCCACCAGGTCCGGTATTTGAATCGCAGTCGGCCATGTGGGAGTGTCCAGCGCCTTAACCACCATGCCACCTGTTGGTCCCCAAGCCTGCTTATTTTTTAATCTGAACAACCTCAAAGGGTTCATGATCCGCCTCCAGGAGGTGCTTTTATTTCTTTGTCAATAATCTTTAAATGACCAGCAGATGTTGACTTTCGTAATATCAGAAGTTATTCTTGAGGCCTTTACCATATGGAAACACCTTCTGGGTGCTTTAAAAATAAATGTGGGAAGTCTTTGCAGATATGTACTTGAATATTTTTTTTCCAGTTGCTGAGTCAAGAAAATATTGGGTTGTCAGAAAAGTCAGGACACACTTCTGCACAGAAAAACAGAACCATAGTCATGTCTTTTCCAACAACCCAGTATTTCCTGATAAGTGCCCTAGAATATATTACTCTCAAAACTTAGAAACCTCTGCCTTAGTTTTTAAACTAATGTCTTGCCGAAGGATGTGTTTTGTGTGGGTTTTGTGCATTGAAATGATGGTGCCCTGTGCAATATTTTCTTTTTTTTAGAGTTTTTGCCATACGGTGTGTGTCCTTCCCAAAGAGACAGAGAGAGACAGAAAGCGAGAAATCACTCCCCAAGGGGAATAGCCACACCACAGTCTCTTCTCCTCCATTCTCCTCTCAGGATCTTGGGCACACTTGCACATGCACCCCGCTTGAGTTTCAAGCCTTTGGTTCTAGGACTCAAACCTCTGTAGCCATGTGGGAGTCCAGCAACGTAACCATTACGCCATCTGCTGGTCCTACCCTGTGCAAATTGCGCAGAAATTTACACAGAAGTGTAGATAACCTGAAGATTTTAACCCACACTAATCTTTGGTCTTTCAGACTTCGTGGGCTTCCTTCTGTTTTAAGACCCACAACTTTTACCAGCATTCTGAAGTCTGACCAAACATTCTCATCAATTATGTATGCATTTGCAAAGTTAAATTGATCTATTAGACATTTGAAAGTTGTTGGCGTTATTACAACTACTAAAAAGTAGAGTCAGTTTTTTTCCATTGCGGGGCTTTGTTTGAAGGCAGTCTACTGTAGAATATAGCCTGACTTCCTGATGTATCCATTCATCACTTTATACACACCTATTCATTGTCCTTTGGCCGTGCACCAGAGTCTGGTGTCACCTGACTTTAAAAATGGGTGGGGGTAGGGTTACAATTTCAAAAAGAAACTGTACTGTCTCATTTTAGGAATTAGCTCTGTATTGTGGCTTGATGACTAATTGCTTTTAATCTGATTTCTTTTTTGTGTGGTAACTTCTATATGATTTGCAGAGGTAGGGAAGAGGCAATGTTTACTTATGTACAATTTGATGCTTTTACCTCTGTCTCCCAATTCTTGGCTAGGTTGTTAGCAAACATTAAACCTACCTTGATTCACATCTATCACCATTGTCAAGTTCATTTTTATTATAAGTTGCCTTTTGCCCTAAAACCATAATAGCTACGCTTTATTTAGTTAGTTAGTTAGTTATTTGGATAATCTGCCTCCTTCCAGAAATGACTGAAAATAACTAATAGTCACTATTCTGTGCCTGCATCCAACACTGAGGAACAGATGGGTTAGGTAAGAGATATTTTTTGTTCTATAATTTTTAAGCTTATTTATTCATTCTATAAGTGAGAGGGAGACAGAGACAGAGATACAGCACCCCTGACAGGGGCCCAATGCCATGATCCAGCCTCAGCCAGCCTGGACCCTGGGCACATGTGTGCCTGATGTACCCAGGGAGGTCCCTGGATGTGAGCTAGTAACCCTCCCGTGTAAGTCTGCTTTGCAGAGCGTCTCCTACTGCTGTGCCATCATCCAGGCCCCCTGTTCTGTAATATTTTATGTAGTCACCAAATATTGTGTTGCCCGTGTGATCAAACTGACCACAACTTCTTGATGTGAGGATCAAAAGTTTGGACATTTTTTCTATTTGGAATCATTCTCACTTCTTTAAAAAGGAAACTGAGGGGCCAGCAGGTGACGTAGTGCTTAAGGCACTGGACTCCCATGGCTAACTGTGGTTCAAGTCCTAGACTCCATGGCTTGAAACTCACATTGGGCATGTGTGCGAGCATGCCCAAAATCCCAAAAGGAGAAATGGAGAAGGGATTGCAGTGTGCCCACCCTCTGGGGGGTGATTTCTCACTTTCTCTCTCTCTGTCTCTCCAGCAAGTGCACATGCCCTATAGCAAACATCTCTCTAAATAAATAAACTAAAAAGGAAACTGAACTCCTTACAGACAAGAATTGTGGCTTCCTGAACACTGCCAAGTGATACTTTTTTTTTTTTTTAAAGCCCAGAGGATGAGTCTTCCCCCTTTCTTTCTGCTGAGATAAGGCTTTCCAAAAGAAAATCTTCAGCAAGTCAGCCTTTTCTGTAACAAGTTAATAAGTTAGACTTTCTAGAAAATTTCTAGCTTTTGAAGGGAGTTGTTCCTTCTTAACTTTCTTGTCTATCATGTTTTCAAAAGTTGCCTAGGTATAAGAATTGAGTGGTGGACTGACCTTAAGCCTTCTCCAGGATCTCCAGGAGACAGTCCTGGGGATCTGTATTTTAACAAGTCCCTTAATATAAATCATATAAGCAGGGAGGTTTGGGAAGGAGAGTTTTAGATGAGTAGGGACTCTTGCCCTTCTGTCGTACCGACCTAAGTATTAAAAAACCTTGAGTCTCGTGTGACTTGCGTCAAGCCCACTTTCTCATATTCAGGATAGCAGCAGCCATTTTCCCCTCTGAAACTATACACTAACTGAGGACAGGGACTATTATGTCCTGTTTGTGTACAGACTGTACAGGGTTCTGTAGAGTCTCTATCCCATGGAAAATTTTCAGTGACTGAACCCTAGTGCTGTGAAGGACTTAACTTTGCAGAATAGAATTCGATTTCTTTTTGAAATCTAAGTCATTTTTCTTTTTGTGCCTTTCATCAGAGTGGTTCACAACTGCTGTGGTTATTACTACTCTGATTCTTCTAATATTCCAGAAGAGTCGATGCAAAAACAAAGGCCGATAAAGTTAAATAGTTGTTGGATTCCTTATAAAGAGACATTGAGCTACAACGGACAGGCTTTCTAAGCTTATCCTGTTGTAGATTTTATCCACTTTGAAAAACTCAGCTTGACACTCAGGTAATAAGTCTCAAGAGCATGGAGACCTTTTAACCATTTGGGATTCCTAGGTGCCTCTGTTGTGTAGATGTTTCTGGAAAAGGCTTTCTTGGAATATGGGAAGCCAGGATGTTATGAAATCTATAGAAATGAACTTGCTGGTTTAGGTACTTTTGTAAAGCTTGTCTGCAGTTTTTAAGGTTGCTAATTTATTATTAACCAACCTGAAATAAGTGAGATCTGGCAAAACTCCCTTGCAAAGAATTCCTTAAGATATTCAGTCAGTATCAGTAGAAGGAGGAGGAGTTTCTGTTTTCTTCTTTTCTTCATTAATTCAACAAATAAATATTGTGCAGGCACCTACTGTGTGTCAGGTACCGTTACACAGAGCAAATTGGCTTACTGTTAATAGTGTGAGGAAGAAAGCTGTATATGTGTGATCTGACTGCAGAAAATCTGAAACAACAAACTGGTACAACACGAAAAGGCAAGGACTAAGTTAGCTTCTCCCACTCTAGTAAGACAAGTAAAAAAGTCTATTCCCTGTTTCTAATCTCTACAAGTAAAAAAGTAAGATGTGAAATTTCTGAAAATTTTGGAAAAGTCTGGAGAAAGGTATGGGAGTACTTTCATGGCTATAAGAAAATGGGAGGGGGAAATAAACATCCATACAGTACATACAGTACTTTTACAAAATGAACGTCTCTTAATAGGTGTGTCAAAAGTTGGTTTGTTAATGATAATAGCACGTTACATTTATTTTGAAGCCGTAGTTT